ATGAACCCTTTATCAAGCAAGTCCTTTAGCTGAGACATCAACTCTTTTAATTCAGATGGGTCTAGTCTGTAAGGAGCTTTTGCTATGGGTGCAGCCCCTAGTGTGAGTTCAATTTTGAATTCCACATCCCTGTCTGGTGGAAGACCAGACAGATCATTTGGGAAGACTTCAGGATATTCTTTGACAACAGGAATAGATTATGGTTCTGCTATTTCTCTGACTGTATCAATCACATAGGCCAAGAATCCTTGGCACTTCTTTTTCATACAACTGTGAGTATGTGATACTGATAGAAGACTGGGATGATGATCCTGGTGATCACCCTTTATTATGACTGTTCCTTTGCYTGGAAGCTCTATTTTCACTCTCTTTTGGTTGCACAAAATGGATGCCTGGTTACTGTCTAACCAGTCCATCCCCACCACTACATCAAATTCCTTCATTGGCATAGGGAACAAACAAATGGGTAGCTTACAACCTTCAATAATGATGGCATAATATTGGTATACATAAGCTATAGTTTCTTGACTGTTTGCAGTCTCAACTATCAGCTTTTTATCAAGTAATATTGGGATCATGCAAGCACTTTTAGCAAATAAAGGAGATACAAATGAAAATTTTGCACGTGAATCAAAAAGCACCTTAGCACATACTGAGTTGATTGAGAAAGTACATGTTACCACATCTGGTGCAGCTTCTGCCTCAGTTTCAGTCATTTGGAAGGATCTGCCTTGAGCTTTACCAAATTCTCCCCTATTAACACCAGGCCTTCCTCTGTTGTTTGGAGCATTGTTTCCCAAAGTTAGTTGTGGTGGTTTCAGCTGTGGACACTTGTCTTTAACATGGTCTGGTGAATTACAATGGAAACATCTTCTGATCTGCCTACGGTAGGTTGAGGTGTGCCCAATTTCTCCACAGTTAAAACATTTCAATGGTTCAGGTCTACAGTTACCTTGATGAACCTGTTTGCATCTTGGGCAGGCTCTCTCCATCTGCCTCTGCATTGGTCTCTTGTAGAATTTAGCAGCCTTTGATCCTTTGTAGCCAGTTGAGGATCCCTCTCATTTCCTCTTTTCTACAACCTTCCCTTCCTCACTCCTATTTTTATTCATTTCAGTAACCTCTACAGCATCAACTGTTGCAGGAAAAGTGGTAGGATTCATAGCAATCACCAATTCTCTTATTGAGGACTTAAGTCCCCAAATATACTTCTCCATTTTCCTTGCTTCAGTAGCAATATAATGTTCAGCAAACCTGGAGAATTCAATAAACCTTTCTGTGTAGGCTCTGACTGCCCCAAAGCCCTGCTCCAGCTTGAGGAAATCTTCCTCCATTTGCCTGATTGCTATTTTAGGACAGAATTGCTCTTTAAATCTATTCACAAACTCTGTCCAGGATAGGTTCTGTAGCATATCTGGTCTGGCCAAAGACTCCACTTCCCACCAGAACACAGCATTAGACTTTAACATAGCAACAGCAAATCTGACTTTATCAGCCTCTGGACATCTAATAGTGTTGAAGACAGATTCAATTTCCTTGATCCAACGTAATGCTTTTATTGGATCCCTTTCTCTAGAAAAAGTTGGGGGTTTGCAGGTGAGAAACATCTTTATATCCCCTTCTCTAACATGAGATGTTGTTGGCACAGCAGGAATTTCCTCCACCCTTTCTGTTTCTAATCTGACAGACATTCTTAAAATGGAAGTCAAGGTTTCCCTTAGCTTCCCCATATCTTCAGCCAACATACCCCTGGTCACAACCTCTTCTTCAGACACAAATTCTGGATTGCTACCTCCAGAAATAGATTTTGCATGTTCAAAAGGAAACTCTGTCTGGTTGTTGCTTTCTCTGGCTTGACTTTTGCCACTTCCTCTGCCTCTACCTCTGCCCCCTCTTCTACTTCTTCCTCTACTTTCTAAGGCATTGACATGGATCCCTATACGAGAATCCTTTGTTTCACCGGGGTTAGGCTGAGCTAGTCTTTCAAATCTCCTTGAGTGGCTAGTCATCTGCAAGTTCCATAATTAGATAACACATTTTCACATTCCCAAATATAATAGAGTACTTAAGTTCAAATATGCACCAGTAAATTCAAAATTACATTGGCCAGATGTAACCCAAAAATACAAGAGTCTAAAATACGAAATACACAACTCAAAAATTTCAAATACAAGTTCTTACAAATGTAATTCCTATGAGTTCCTATCTTCCCGCATG